CTACAAGTCACGCATATTTCTAAATACAAATTCAATCCAAACAACATTCATATTAAAAATAAATACATAATGATAAATTCGTTACACCCCACAGATAAAGAGATGCTCACTTTGTAATGAGCTTTATGGTGTGATACAGGTATTTACAGGTAAGTTTCACCACTGATGGAAGAATGTTTTTGTTGACATTCCACCATGCCAAGAAATCTTTGTCTTTTATTTTTTCTTCATAACTATTAACCAGAGATGGAGATTTTTATTGTTTTTTCTATTTTATATCAAAGGCATCAATTAATCATAGATTTATTAATTTATTTTTCACATATTACATCAAGGTAAATTATTTAAAACTTTTATAAAATATAAAGACAATTTTCATGCAGAAAAGATTTTATTTCAGTATCAAAATTAGAGCATTTTTACAATTATCAGTTAACATTTTCCTATGCTAAAAATATATTTCTGATAGGTACTTACTTATGCTCACACAAAGCTATATCGATCTTCTTTTTGTCCTCCAAGCATTGCTGAGAAAAATGTTCATGTTCAGCCCACCAGTCTATATACCCCACCAACTGAACATGTACATATGATTACTCTCCACCAATAGTATTGCCCCACCTATATTGGTGCAGCTAGCTTCCTCTCCAATTCCTGCTCAATCCTCACTTTCAGAAATCGACAGGATCTAAAAGAATAATAATGGCAGTGGGTGGGAAGTGTGTGAGATAGGTAAGTACCTATCGGACATACATTTTCAGTGTAAGAAAATTTTAACCTCCGATACAGTCTTACCTTTTCTCACACAAAGCTAGAATCTTACACTGCAAAGGTGGAGGGGCTGGTGTAAGCACACAACATTGAAACCAAGCAGAAAGTGACCACCCAGAATGAATGGGTGTGCTCTAAGATGAACTGAATCACACATGTAGGGTACTGCATTACTTTTGAAACAGGTATGCCCTTCACCCTCGAGGAAGAAAATGAACCTGAAATGGGCATAAAAAAGGGATGTGCACAAATGTAATTCGTTCTGACAGGTGCAATCTATTGTAAAAAAACTCATCCTCAGCATTAAGAGGTTGAGGATCAATCAGATAAAAATGATTTATACATTTATAAAAATGTATTTATTTATGTATTTATAAAACTACAGAGTAACATAAATGAATTACGAGGAGGATATGGAACATTCACTCAACCGTGGGAACGGAGTGATGTCATTACAAGGAGGTTCCCACATAGGCTGGTCCTGCTCCATCCGAGAACTGTCCACCTTGGAATAAGCATCCAGGGGAAATGGAAGGAGGGAAACCAGCTTTGCCCTCATCTCACTGAGTGGATATATGGAAAGTTAAAAGTCTACAATGCACTCAGGAGGAAGTCTCCATGGTTCACTACTCCAGCAACTTGGAAGTGATAAAGACTCCCTTCATCCACTCATATAAAAAAGGGGGCAGTGGAAAGTCACACTGGAGAAAGTACAATGGGAGTTCATGATTCCCTATTTTGAAAAGCAGACCGTCCCCAATTTATTCAATCACTGGGTTAGCAGGGATGGGCAGAAATCCCATTCTGCTTTACTCATGAAAGTCAATGAGTGAGTATCCACAATTGATGAATATTGAGAAACATATGTATATAACAGCAGGCAAGCCACCAGTAGTCATGCAGTAGTCTACAGTGAGCATTATAGCACCATCAGTAAATTGTGTGTGTTTAAAGCAAAGCATACCTGTCCAAGCAACACCTACCACAGAATGGAATCCCATTAGAAGTGGCAAAAAAAGAGGGTCTCTAAAAATAAAACATAGATAACATTATGTGATAATACTTACCACAGTCAGAGGTGAACAGACATGTGTAAAATCACTATGGGAGGGAAACAATATT